TCATAACCAAAAAGCTCTTTAATCTGTGGATATTTCTCTGTAAAAATAGGTAGATTAAATTTTACCTTTTCAATCCTCCCATATGATTATCAACTGCGTTAAAAACGCCAATAAATAATAAAAAAATACCTAGAATTACTCTTCGACGACTGGCATGCGGCTCCTCCGTATAAACCCATTCAAAATCCGATCTCGACACGTGTTGTCCCATTGTTCATTAATAAATTAATTATTGTATTCGTCACTCTTGTATTTGGTAAAATGAAAAAAAAAATATTGTTAATTACCGGTAATGGTTATGAACCCGGCGTTATGTCAGTCTTTACCACACTGAATTGGGATTGGCGAATCCAAAAATGATAAGGTAAAGGGAGGAAAATAGAGGCATAGGAACTACCGCCATCTACCGTCCCATATGCATACCCGATCGTCATGAACGGCCACATGAGGACGCAACCTTCGGCTCAGCGCCATGACACTTTCCAGTCAATTCGTGTTCTTCACACGCGGAAACTCGTCGTACTAAAGTGTATTTTTCTTCTGGATGATATGAATAGATATGTGTGAGTAGTATATATATACGAATATGGCCGCAGTATATACTATATCGTGTATGTAGTTTGAAGTTTTCGTCGCAAGATGGAATAGTCGATGTTCGGTTGAAAGTGTGCGAGTGTGCGATGTGTGTAGCTGCGAGATGGCCGGTCCGGTTAGGGTATGTAATAAACCATTAAACACACGATAAGTAGAATGATTTGTTCTAAATACTAATTGTCAATCAATAATGAACACTTGGATGGTTGAGTAATCATTGATCTCGTCACTCTAACTGGGAAATTTTATGTCATCAAATTGTCAGAGACGCCACAGCACAAGGTCGTCGCCATGTTTGCATGTGTGCATAGCCCAGTGTGCACTTTATTGTTGTGTTGGTTTGTTGTTGTTTTGAAAATGTAAACATTCATCCCGTGACAATTGGGGATACCGAATGGGAGATTAGGGTAGCACGTGGCGGATGCCTCTATTCGATAAAAAAAAAAACGACGCCACGATTATTTTGAGGGGATTGAGTTCAAGTGAGGGATTCATGAGGGTTGATAAGAGATATTTCGTTGGCATTATTTTTCCATTTGAGGATTTCGTGGGCCGATTGCTTCTAGGTGATGAAATATTAAAGAGATTAATCCGTTGTTGAGGGCATTGGAGGTCAGTGAAATTTTTATATATCTCCTCGGGATTTTTTTTTGGAACCATTTTGGTTATTTACGGGGATTCTTTTATGTTATTTTATTTTTGAGGGCCATGGGGAAATACG